TATGTTTCCTGCCTCAGATACAAGGAAGTGTCCATTCATTCATGAAAACGACAGCGATAATAAAAAAGAAAAACTTTACAAGTTCAGATTGAAGTCCGTCTGTAAATCTGTCATTTTTAGCAGGTCAGCTGTGGAATAAAAAGAGCTGCTTAAAGTATAAACAACTGTGTTAAATCATTTTCATTTATTCAGAAGACAGCGCTGCGCAAGAAAAGATGAGCTGATTTCACCTAAACAAACATCAATAACGTCCCTCATACTTCAGATAATCACGATTTTGGTGTTATTTTGTATGGTTTGAAATGTTCTTTTGGAATCCACTGTCAGATTTAATATTGGTGTAGGATTAAAAATTTATCCACATCCCTACTATAATTCTGCTATTTTAAGACTTGGTCACCAATAAACATGCCAACTGTTGATGCTAATCCCAAATTAAGCTAACCAGTAATGCTAAAGGGCTACAATTCAGTCATTTTTAACAGCTGAAATTTTAAACGGTACTATCAGAACAATCTTTAACCAAATCTAAATTTAAAAAAAACTAAGACCCCCACCCATTATTTAATCATTTGGGGGTGGCAGCTGCCTCCCCTAGCCACCCCACTTGCTCCGCCCCTGTGTGTCAGACTCAAAGACCAAACCTGCATGCTTCTTTTCATGAGCTTTACGAGCAGTGTGAGAGTCAAACGTAGCRGCACATCCATCTTTGGAACATCTGGGAACCAGAAAATAAAGTTTGTTTCATTTAATAAACCTACTCATGAGATTGAGATTAAAGCTCAGCATATTTCCTATTAAGCTAGAAATAAAACCTTTTGTGGACGTACTTGAACTTTGCAGCCACACCGTGCTCCTGTAGGTGCAGCTTAAACAATCTGCGCTTTTTGAAGGTTAAGGAGCAGTTGGGCTGGCTGCACTGAGGAGAGAAAAAATATTCAGATGGTTTAAATGATGCTCTGTTGCCATCTGGTGGGTGAAAGCTCTTTGAGACGAACCTKAAACCTGTTTTTGTCTCCATGAGCACAGAGGGCGTGCCTCTTCAGCTTGTCTGCGTAGAAGAAAGTCCTCCCACAGCTGGAGATCTGGCATCTGGAACAAACCAGTGGTTAGACTCAGGTCTGAATGCATGAAGCCGTGTGAAACCAGAACATGGACCTACTGGAACTTCTTGACTCCTCTGTGCAGAACCATGTGGCGGCTCAGGTGGGATTTTCTCCTGAAGCTTCGACCACAACCAGCAACTGTGCATGGACACGGGCGCTGTGGACACACAGGTTAAAGAGTGACATTCTGWGAAATAATTCATTTTATTTGGGTGCAAACTAGGGTTGGGCATAATCGTATCGTGTGCAATTAATTGTCAGAAAAACAATCGATTAATTTTTGGCACTTGACAATTAATATGATTAATGCCAACAGGCTGAGTCCACTCGCTGCTCCTCTCCGCTTCATATATAACAAACATTAAAAAAAGTTCTGTAACTTATTTATCAACACAATTTAAAATTTGATGTATAGCCTGAAGTCTGTAATTTTGACACAATTTGGAACAGATTTTTATGAAGAGCAAATCTTTCCCACTAAATTGGTCATGTGACTATGAAATAAGGGTGTCCAGGGACTCTAATAGTCATCGGTTAAACACCACGATTAATCGTGATTTATTTTTTTTTTGCCAATATTGCCCAACCCTAGTGCAAACTGATTCAACTTAATTCATGTTTTAACTAAAAATTTGAAAGTTTCATGGCAACCTTGAAAAATGTGGAAATTTTGCCAAGTTTTGTGAGAAGAGCTTTTCTAATTTAGTGGAATACCAGCATGTTAATTATCATATTTTAAAGTAAATTTAGCTCAGATGAATCATCTTTGCATAATTACATTTTAGTGTTCTTTCAACTGAAATAATTTAACAAAACCACTTCAACAAATTTATTAACTGTAAATGGCAGAAAAGCTGGACTGCTTACAAAGTTGTTCAAATGTGGTGCCATGGAAAACTACCATAAAGCTGAGCTGCATAAATTACCGTAAAACTGGAAAAACGTGCGCAAGTAAAATCCCAAAATCTCTTCTTGCGCAGTTTTTAATTTTTCACCGGAACTTCCGTGTTCGAGTGGCTGCAGGTAGGCTAGTTATTTGACCAAAAATCCATTCAAAAACGGCCTACTTAATAAAATTGGATTTATCCGCATTAAAAAGTGTTTATTATTCAGTCTTACTGCTCCGGTGTGCACGGTCTCGTGTTCCTTTAGTTTCCACTGCCTCGAAAAAGTAGCTCCGCAKTCCGCGTGCGCGCAGGTGAGCGTACGAGGCTTCCCGCCACGGACCCCAATCATCGTCGTCGCCCGATATCTGAATTTTATTTTTTATTTATTTGTTTTTTTAAATATATAAATGTGAGAAGGCCGCCGCCTATGGAGCGCCTCATTTATAGCCTCTTGGGAGCAATTAGTCGTTAATTGACAACATCCAGTGACCAGGAGGTGAGTCAGACTTCAGAAGCTGAAACTAATTACCCTAATTACCCAGAAGCCATTGCTGCAGATGACACAGAGTTTGAATAATTTTGCTAATGTCTGTTTGACGTTATAAACTCGTACAGTATTATTTTTTTCAGGTTTTAACATCTGTCAAAAATCCCTTTGGCTATTTCTGGTATACATTTATCTAATTTTCTTAATTATCCGTGATAAATAAACTCGTCCAAACTTGGTAAAAATTCATGCAGCATGGCTCAGGTGCAAAAGTGACAAAAATGCATCTCTTTAACTGAGCTCTTTTTTTACAATAAAATAAAAATCACAAGTCTTTTTTTTTTCTAAAATATGTTTTCATGTCAAACGATTGTTTATTCCCAAAATTTTAAGATCTATTTCCAAACTAGATCCCAACACTAAATCTGTGAAATAAATCCGATTTGTTCTGTTTAGTTTGAGCTGCGGTGTGATGCGGACATGTGGCCACCAGAGGGCAGTGTGACCGAAAAGTTCCGCTTTCAAAAGATTCAGTTCTCTCTTTAAAAGGTAAGTAAAGCAGTACGCTGTAATTTACAAATAGTTAAATTATTTCTATCAATTTATGTATTTATGAAATAGATCATTATGGAAAATGCGTACTTTTTAAAATTGCATCCCAGCCACAGCCGTAAAAATAAAACGATTGAAAATGTTTTTGGACACTGAAATGATGTTCATTTTAAAATAAATTAAATAAAGTTTTAGAGATGAAACATCTCAGCAATTTGTTTGAGTGAAAGGGCACAAATATCACATTTATCCTCTTCCTCCACCTCTTTCCTTTATCTTTTCTCCCTCTTAAAGGGGGGTAAATGAAATATTCAGAGGGGGCAGGCACCGAGCCTCCATTAGCGGTGTCGCAGGAAGAGTTCACTGCATCGAGGAGCCCAAACCCTGCAGGTTAGAGAGCTGAGGCAGCAACACTTTGAGCTCTGCAGAGCTCGTTGGTAATTCCCATTTACAGGAACCAGTCAATAAGGAGGTGGTGCACTAAGAAATCCTGCCAGATGTGTCTTGGTTTCTGAGGTATCAGCACTTTGCAAAGTCCTAAAAGCTTTATTTGAAGTTACTTAAATGGCGTTCTGCTGCGTTCAACTTTAACAATCCCAACCGATATGCAGCAAGAAACACGTCTCCGTCAGAACTGAGGGGCAGACTGGGGTGGTGGTCCCCCTGTTTAAAAAGGGGGACTGGAGGGTGTGCTCCAATTACACGGGGGTCACACTCTTAACCCTCCCTGGTAAGGTCTATTCGGGGGTCCTGGAGAGGAGGGTCCGTCAGATAGTCGAACCTCAGATTCAGGAAGAGCAGTGTGGTTTTTGTCCTGGTCGTGGAACACTGGACCAGCTCTACACC